ATGAACTATTAAATATACTATTAGCCTTAATTTTACCAACCAGTCATAGTGAGTGGGAGTTCACAAAGAGCAGGTTCTTAGAAGCAAAGCTGTGTCTCCACCCACTTGCTCACTGAGCCCCAATGCCTAAGTGTACCCCATTCACTCCAGCCTTCTGATCTGTCAGGGCCTCCTGCTCCTTTGCTACCTGGACTAGATGTGGACAATTTCTTCGAGCTGTTCAAAGTAAAGGTACTGCTGAGGCTGGCAGTGCAAGCCCTCTGCCCAGCTGGCCCTTTCTATTTCTGGAGGGCAACCCTGGCTGCTGAAAAGAGGAATGTACAGAAATGAAAACTGATCAAGTTGTCAACTCCCTCCCTGGTCAGAGCGTCGGAATGTCTCTTTTCACCTTCAGCCTGCAAGTCTGGCTTGGGTGCTTTCCCAATGCTGATGTCTTCCCCTTGCTTGGTTAGAGTCTGGGGACACCCAAGAGCTGGACCTTTGAGTGACTATAGCAAAGAAAGGAATTAAAAAATGAAGTGGCCAGTGCAAGTAGAGACTTTCTGCCTAGTTAAACAGATTTAGGGCTATTTTTGGTTTGCTCTTAATAAGGCAAAGGATGGAGGGCCTGCTGGGTGCCAATTTGCAGAAACAAACTCCTTCCTCAGCTCAGGGCTCAAAATATACCCCAGCTATTGCTGCCAATGTGTAGAGCAAAGCCTTAGAAGGTCAACGTTTAGGAAGCCAAGGGAGCATCTTAACATCACAGGATTCTTGGCCCACATGGACCTATGCGTATTTTTGAATCGGCTCAACAATGGGTTTCGGTGGGCTTTACTCTAGTACAACGGGATTAATGTGTAATGAAATGATGTTTGGGCCATCTGCAAAAGGAGGTCATTTCCCACCAATCAGAGTAAGCATTATAATCCCAAGGCAGCAAAAGTTCTGATGCTGGAAAGAGAAAAGAAGAAAGCAAGCTGATCCGGCATGATAAATTGGGCTGCCTTGGCCTAGCTGCCAAGCACACGCCACATTTCTCTTTAATACTACACTGTAATCGGACCACTGGCGGACTGGGTACATCTGCCTACAGTTCTCTGGCTCCAACATCTGAGAGAGGCCATTCCCTTCATGGGGAATGCTGGCAAATCCTAACATTCTTGTCAGTCTTAAAATTGGAGACTTTTCTTGAAAACAACTACCTCCCTTTCATTATTTTAGGCAGGTGAGCATGGGAGGAATGATTGCAATTTGCACCGAGAGGTGCATTAGCGGCTTTAAAAACATCTGACTGATCCCAGATTCCATGAAACAAAGGCCTGAATACATTGCTTGACGGAGCCATAACAGTGTGAGTTTTCTGAAATTACAGCTTTGGGAAGAAACTAAAACTGCAAGTGAACCTCAGAGCCACAGCAGTACACTCAGCACAGACCAACTCTTACAAGAGTAAGAGAATTCTGAAAATCCAGTTAAAAAAAAACCCCACACCTGTCATTCCCAGGGAAAATAGAAGAAAAACAACAATGATTAAAGGAAAACATTCAAAGAAGTAAGTTCTAGGACTGGTCATAGGATCCAGTACAAAACCAGGCCAAATGCTCCTATATACCTCAGTGCAAAACAAGGACCTGAAGCAGACCATTAATCAAAAGTGGCTTCTGAAGCATGTCAATACAGCTTTAATGAGGCGTGCTTTACCAGATCCTAATTCGCTGAAAAGTCATGCTTCATTTCCATTTGAACATTCATCATACTTCATATTTAAAAAAATTAATGAGAACACCGATTCCCCAGGCCATTCTGGATGATGGGAGTCTATTCTGGCCTCTTTTTTAGCCTTAGCAGGTAGATGGGGCCCAAGGTTGGCCTCCAGACAACTGGTGAGGGGAAGTCAGTGCCTCTCCAGCAAAAGTGAACTGATACTCCTAAGTGGTCTGGCTCTAAGAAAGGAATGTCTTTCAAGTCTCTAAGTGTTAATTTTAATTATGTGAAAATTTTAAAAAATATATTTTTATTGATTTCAGAGAGGAAGGGAGAGGGAGAGATAAAAACATCAATGATGAGAGAGAATCATTGATCGGCTGCCTTCTCCATGCCACACACTGGGGATGGAGCCAGCAACTCGGGCATGTGCCCTGACCAGGAATCGAACCATGACCTCCTAGTTCATAGGCCGACGCTTAAGCACTGAGCCACACAACGGCCGGGCATTTTAATTATGTGAATTTTAAATTATCCATAATACATCTTTTTTAATACTTTAGCTTACTAATGAATTATTTAACAGTTTTCCCCAAACAGGTAAGACTTGACACACCAGGAAAACACACCATATTTAACCTGTCGCTAAGTGTAAGTGATCAGGCCCAATGTATCCAGCAGTTACCCCAGCAGGAGAAATCGGGATTCCTGTTGCTGCTCAGCCACACCACCACCCTGGCTTCTTCCTTAGAGTCTAAATCACCCCAAAAAGATGAAGTGGTCATATATACATTACGGAGAGTCAAGGAAATGGTAACATAAATAAAAGTATCCAGCTCGTTCCCACAACCTACACCTGCCTCCATCCCCTTTCCAGCCACATTCTACTGAAGACAAAGTTAAATGTAGAAAGGCAGTGCACTCTGACAGTAATCTATGAGCTGCTGCATACAACATCATGTATCAGGGACAGACACAGTGTGGCACTTCAACCTGGGTTCGAGCCTCCTCCTGCAAACTCAACCTCAGGGCTGATCTCTCCCGCCCAGTATTTGGCAAAGGTGAAAGGTGGCTCCTTCATTCACCATCAATGCTGCAATTTCCTGTTGAGCCCAAGTACAAGTGGCACATGCAGCAAGGGAACCAGCCGACCAGGTTTCCATAAAAGCAGCAACGTGCACATCTCTGAAATGAAGGATGACGAGGGAATCACAGAGAAAATACACAGCTGCAGTAAAACACTTCAGTGGCCATAAGAACAAAATAGCCTGTTAAACACCAAGAAGAGTCTACTGAGAAAATTTTGCTCATCATCCATCCTATGTTTGGTTTATTTCTAAAACACAGTCATAACTAAATTGGCAAACTAAACTTAAACTCCGCTAAGCACACTTTCATGCTGAGTTTAAAGAAAAAGAAGCTTCTGCTGCCGACCAAATTAGGGATCTGATCTTACCTTCCACCTTTGCCCATCTCTTCCACATATGATTCACCAAAACCCTCCAACCGAGAAAAAGGCAGACATACAGCACTTCTAGGCTACATCTGGTAATACTGCCTTTTAGCACTGCTGAGAGTTAAACACAGACACACAGGTAAACTGCTGAGCACAAGTGTTGCTACAAAGCTCGGTAAGGGGGCTGGTGGTGACAATTAGCACCACATCAAATTAAAACCCTCCTTCTGACTTTCAAGGACACATCCTACCTATCCAACTTTATATTTCATTATTTCCCAACAAAGACTGTTTTCTCTGACTCCTGTCCCCACAACTCACATTTCCTAGACACATGCCCAAATTCTACACAAAATGAGATCTAACCAACCCAATGTTCGGGCCGATGTTTAAAAACCAGGATATATTACATATAACTCCAAATGTAGGGCTCCTCCAGAAAAATCTGAAAATAAGCAACAAACACCATATTCCCACAGGGCACCATGTGCCTGGAGCAGAGGGGCCACTGCTCTCAGATGGAGCCTGCCAGCCAGACCCCTTGTTTACACGAAGTCCACTTCAGTGTTTTATGTCACCTCCCTGGCTCTTGGTTTGTGATCCCCGATTCTGAACATATAGAAGGTTTATCTGCATCACATTCAACCTTCTTTCTTTAGTACGCATCTAAAGAATGTATTTGTCCAACAGGACCCATCATATTTTCCATTTTCCTCTTCACCGCCATCACAAGCACCTATATAGCTGGCTTTCTTGTCTGGATCATTTACCTCAAGAAACGTCCTTCGTCCCACTTCCTGAATTATTGCACACAAAAGATAGCAAGTTCACGTGCTATCTTCAATAGGCTCCACTCTGTCTCACACAGCTGCCTCTAAACTGGGAGTCTGTGTCCCTGTAAACATAAAATAGCTTCACTCTGGACCTTCCAGACCACTGTGAAGAGTTTGACTGGTGAATGACATGCGCCTCCTGCAATTCACATGTTTTCCCTAGTAAAACTATTCTGGAATTCATGCAATGAAATTAAATATATCATTACAGCACATGAACAAGTTTTCAAACCTCACCAACGAGCCAGGATTGGCAACTGATAATTATATTCAAGAAGACATGGGGCAGAGGAAAAGAACAGAGGACTGGGATTCAGGGCTCAGGTTCCAAGGCTAGAACTCACTGGCCAAATGATGCAGTAACTCAGTTGGCCTCTAGGGGCCTGCTTTTATTTTATTTTACCTTTTTGAATATTTCCCATAGCTTCACAGATATTTTTTAATACTTTTGAGCATTTCAAAAAATAATATGGTGACAGTTAATCTGAGGCATCATTTTAAGACCGATGATTTTGAACCTCAAAAAAAACTAGATATTAAGAAAATAGATGTGATGAGCTCTCTTCAAAAACTGACTTTTGTGTTTTATGCCGTTTCACACTAGAAGTGAAGCCACCCAAGCATTCCCCAGGGTGGATTTTCATGCTGCTTGGGCGTGGGAACTTCCACTGTGGCAGAGAGACTACTAAAGCCTGACACTACCCACTGCTGACTGCTCGCTGCATGTGTGGCCACCTCTTCTCCGTGCCTGAAGGTGAGCTTCTAGAAACTGAAAATAAGCCAGTGGGGGGAGGAGACAGGTTGTAATCAACCTCAGAACTCCTGCCTTGGGCTTGTTAACACGGGGGAGGGTGCTGAATGAACCCTATGAAACCCATCTTCTCTGTCTGGAGGCGTGTCATGGTGGTGTCTGGCTGGAGAGACAGGTTTCCTGTGTGTTTTGAATTCTGCATGGGAAAAGGTACACAAAAGCGACCAATTATGAGCCCTAGCCCCAGATGAAGCCACACGAACAAGGCACGTACCAGGTCGATCAGGTCACTGAGGTTTTTCTCAATTTGCTGTGGAGGCAGGCGCCTCATTAAGTCCAAGGCACAGTCCAGCTGCTGATCACTCTGTGAAAAAAGAAATAAAAGTGTCTAAGTCGTTTTGCCAACAGAAATACCAAAAACTCTCTTATAACAACATTTTTGCAGTTTCAGCTTGCTCAAGGTATGCTAAGACCAAGGAGGCCTGCAGTGGGCCCTCGGTCCCGTCTCCTGGAGGGACACTGCTAGTCTCTCTTTGACAGCAGTGTCTGTCTCAAGTGGAGGCGTCCAAAAGACAAGCAAAGAAGTGGGAAGCAGGCCAGAGAGTTCAGAAAGTGACCCTGTTCTACCCACATCAAAGTGTCATTGGTTTTTCAGCAGACCATGGGAGATGCAGATGTATTAACTCCCGATGGGTTCTGCAGTCAGCATGCTCGAATAGCAGATTAAGCTCTATCCTTTGCTATAACCTGGATTTAAACAGGTAACATTAGGTAGCACCACCAGGCCAGGTTCCTTGGTGAGCTCCAAGCCAGGGAGAAAGCCAGGCAAAGAACAAGCAGCAAAATGCACACAAAGGTTCAGTGCTTCAGTCATTCACTAAAGCTTGGGACATTTTCCCTGGTGCCAGGCCCTTGCAAGACAGACAAAGACCTGAACCAAACCACTTACGGCCAAGAGGTCACACTAGCTGGCCAAGTGGCCACAAGGCAATACACTGGCGTCACTGCTGCGCAGGGGGCCTGGGAGGATAAAGACTGCTCTCGTTTACCGAGCACCTTCTTTCAGCCCTGTGTGCTTCACAGAACTCTCTTCATCTAATTTCATGATGCAAATATTTACTGAGAGCCACCCTATGCCAGTCACCACAAATATATAGTGAATGGTGAAGGAAGAAGGAACAATTAAGTGGGGGCAAGACTGGTGAAGTGCAAAGTAAATTCAGTGCAGAGTGGGCTGTAACAAGAAGGCCGGACCTCAGGAGGACCAACAAGAAATAAGGTGAGAAAGGTGGGCCAGGTAAAATGGTCAAGACTCTGAGGAGTACACAGAAGGCAGATGGAGCCCCCAACACTACCGGTCAGAAGCACTATCTCATCTGTATCCCGATTCTGCTCTGGGCAGGCAAATCTCAGGATTTTTTAAAAGCCCTAAATCAAGAAGCTAAGGAATCTTCACAAAATATACAAAGTAATCCTGGAAATGCCACGTTTGGCTGTAATGAAATACAACCTTTGACTATGACCTTCTACACTCCTGATATATTAACTTCAAACAGGCTCAGGGACAAGGATCTACTTTATATTCACCAAAGACATATTACATTAAGTTAACTGGAAGCAATTTGATTTTCAGGTAACTAATATGGCATATACAGCAGGCTATTTAAAAGGGGGGGGAGGGACTCATCCCCCCCACCCCGCTCAAGGTGGTTATCAGTGACAATTTATTCTGGGACCCACAACACACTGGCTACTGCAAAGAAACACACACACACACACACAAAAACACATACACACCAGGAATTTTGTAGCACTTGTTTAGCTTAATGAAACATTGTAGCAACCATGAATTTCCTACTTGTGCCATGCCTTCTATGCTAGCCAAGGCCACAGTGACATGCGTCTGGCTCGCTGGCATGGGAAGACATTTTAACACCATTTCTAAGGTCGAGAACACAGACCAGCTGATTTGACACTACTGAGACATATTCCATTCCCAATTCTGCCATTCATTAACTTATAGCCTTGGGCAGAGTTGTTAGTCTCTACAAGCCTCTATTCATAAAATAGAAAGCATACACTTTATAGGGTTCTTGCAATGATTTAGTTAATACCTGTGAACTGTTTAATTCATAGCAGTATGTTTCCGTATGTATGCAAATACATGTCTTAAATGTTTTAAAATAAAAAATATTTTATAACATTCGCCGCAGTCAACCCAACCCCGAAGCCTTTCCTACTGCTCTAAATTGGAGGTAGGTGTTCAAACCCATAGTTGTGCAAGAATAGAAAACCTTAAATCATTCAGGTAGGCTAGTTAAAAAGTATAAACTAATGAGCTAAAGACCTCACCAAAGAAGATATACAGGCAAATATACATGAAATAATGCTTAACATCATAGAAATGTAAATTAACAATGAGATACCATTAAACACTTGTAATGTCAATAATATTGTAATAACTATATATGGTGCCAGGTGGGTACTGGAAATATCAGAGGGAACACTCTGTAAAATATTTGATTGTGTAACTATTATGCTGTACACCTGACATTAACACAAAATAATAATGAATGCAAACTGTAATTGAAAGTAAAATTTAAAAATAAGAAAAAAGCAATGAGCTATCAAGCCATGAAAAAAACTTAAATGTAAATTACTAAGTGAAATATTAATATATCAATCTTAAAAGGGTACATAATGTGGGATTCCAACCATATAACATTCTGGAACAGACAAAACTGTAAAGACAGTAAGAAGATCAGTGATTGCCAAGGGTTGGAGGAGAAGCAGGGATAAATAGGCAGAGCACAGTCGGTTTTCAGGGCAGTGAAACCACTCTGTATGACGCTATAAATCAGGGGTCCTCAAACTACGGCCCGCGGGCCACATGCAGCCCGCCGAAAACATTTATCCGGCCCGCCGGGTGTTTTTGCCGCTGCTGCCTGTCCTACTTAGCAGCCGACTCGTCCCGGGCCCGCGGTGCGCATGTGTGGCATGTCTGAGGGACAGTGAACTGGCCCCATTTAAAAAGTTTGAGGACCTCTGCTATAAATGGTGGATATGTGTCATTAGAAATTTGTCCAAACCCATAGGGGAGGCTATGCATGTGTGAGGACATGGTTTATATGGGCAGCCTCTGTACCTTCTGCTCAATTTTGCTGTGAACCTAAAACTTTTTTGAAAGGTGTAAACTAGTGTTTCTTACAGGGGCTGATTTTGCCCTTGCCACAATCCCTCACTGACATTTGGCAATGTTTAAAGACCATTTTGATTGTCATCACTGGGAGAGGGGAACCTACTGGCATCTCATGGGTAGGGACCAGGGATGTTTCTAAATATCCTATAATGCACAGGAAAGATGCCAACAACCTGGCCCAATATGTAAGTAGAGTCAAGTTTGAGAAACCTTGGTTTAAAACAATCAGTTTTGGGGACTAAAGACTCAAAGCAAAGCTAAGGCCACAGAAAAATTGGACATACAATTCTAATTCGCAGACCATTTACAACTCCTAAAAACATCTGGTCTTTGGAAATATTCTGAACTTGGATATTAACAATCTTCCTGAGAACTAAAATAGAAATTTAGACAAAGTAAGCCTAGCTACACTGAAGCTTAAATCCAGAACACACTGGGATTCAGAAGGGATCAACTAGAAGGTGAGCAGTGCATTACCTAGGAAAAGAAAAGCTGTAACTTGGCCAGAGAAGGTCAACAGGAAAAGACATTGCTTTAACCCTCCACAGAGCCTGTTCAGACCGCCAAGCTCAATATGCTGATGGCAGCCTCACCCCACATGCCAGCGCTCGTAAAGGCTTCCTTCCAGACAGCCCTCTGTACCTAGCTGAAAGCTGCAAAGTGGTTTAACTCCTATTTCGCATTAATCCCAATTAATCTTAATTGGCAATATTTCACTACAAATTTCTAAGGTTAAGGATATCTAATTTTCATTAAATTAGTAAATGACTAAAAGCTTCCCATAAGGCAAGCAACATGGGAAAACTTAATGACAGCTTGTAAAAAGTTAAAATTAGAGTTAACTGGAACCCTTTGTGTGGGAGTCATCCCAAATCCTGAGGGGTCCAAACAGGAAATGGCACAAGAGAATGAGGAAAACATGGATGATCTAAGCTCCATGCATCAACACGAGTGACCCCAGAAATAGACTGATGGTGGGAGTGAGGAAGCAAGCTAGGATGCTGCCACTTTTATAAAGCTCAAAAACAAGACATACTGAACTAGAGTTTAGATATAAACACACACACGTGTGTATGTGTGTATTTTAAACAACTATTGCAAGGCTTTTTTTTCCTTATTAGCTAAGACAAGGGAATGATAAATATAAAGTTCAGAAGAGTGAGAAAAGTAGTTTTAAGAGGAAAAGGCACTAGGGGAAAATAAAATTTGATATTTATGTAGATCTTGCATAAAATGCTGGATTTGAGCGTTTCATATCATGATGCTAAGTCTTACATATATGTTATGTTCCTTTATGGTTATTAGCTAAAAAAATGCTTAAGTTGATTTTTGTGTATGACATAAGACTGGGGTCCAGTTTCATTCTTCTGCACATGGCTGTCCAATTTTCCAAACACCATTTATTGATGAGACCAGCCTTTCTCCATTGTGCATTCTTGGCTCCTTTGTCGTAAATTAATTGACCACATATGAATGGTTTATTTCTAGGCTCTCTACTCTGTTTCATTTTCATTGTTTTACTTCACTAAATATTTTTTCCAAGATAACTAAAAAATAAAAACACAGAGAAAGATAAATATCACATGATCTCCCTCATTTATGGTTTTTTTTTGGGGGGGGGGATAAGGACACATATGTAATACCTTAATCAATAAAGAAATTAAAAAATAAAAACAAGAACAGGCAAAGACAGAAATGGGTTTCATAAGCTAAGCCAAGGTCTACCCTGTCACTTGATGTCTGTGAGACAACCCTGTGGCCTAGGATTTGGGCTAGACGGCTGCTAGAGTCCTTCTGGATGGGTCCCATATCCAACAGCAAGTGCAGATGCACCCACAGCGTCCCACCTGTCCTGCCCTTCAATAGCCCCCTGAAGGCTTGCAACTAGGTTTCAATTCAACCACCATGCCTTGAGTGCCAAGCCCTGTGAGTCAGGCCCTGAACTAGGCCCACTGAAGGAAACCTAGTTCCAAACCTCAAGGAACCAACCACGCACAGAATAGCAAAGAATCAGAAGGCTGTGCAGCGTGTACAAGAATGGGACACAGAAGGTGCAGAGACGAGGCATAGTTCATAGTACACTGATTTGGGCTTCTTCATGGGTCCATTTTCCCCTGGGATTCCCCACCCTGGTTACGTCTAACCAGTGGCTTCCTACTCATTTTGTATCCTGTCACCCTGTGACTAAGGGCTCTGCACGGGATGGCTCCTTCAAAATCCTCCCTGACCCTGGACACCTCCTTCAGAAAACGAACTTTACCAGTTCCACCTTCACTGGTGGTGTTTTCCATGTTGAAAGGTAAATAGTAAAAGAATGACCATTTCACTTCACTCCGGAATCCTCTGCCCGTTCAATTAGTCATTATTTGAGTGTTTCCTAGGTGACAAACACTGTTTTGGATGTTGAATGGTGAGCTTAACAAAGTTGCTGTCTTTAGGAAATGATGGTGTAGTCGAGATTCATATGGCAAAGAAAAATAAAAAATAAAATACAAAATGAGTCCTTGTTAGGATGTCAAAGAATAAGGAGGGACAGTTTCCCCACTGTAAATTGTGCTATGAACATAGGGCTGCATACATTCTTTTTGATTGGTGTTTCGGGTTTCTTAGGATATGTTCCTAGAAGTGGGATCACTGGGTCAAATGGCAGTTCCATTTTTAATTTTCTGAGGAAACTCCATGAATGTGCTTTTTAAAAACAGTGCTTGTAATTTCAAGGACAAGCAGTAACTCCGACTGCTCGGATTTCCGAGCAGAAGTCCTGCTTGGCCTGCTCTAGTGACTGGTTGTGGCAGATCTGTACTTAACAGCATCTGTCTACACATAAACAACCAACCAAAGCTTCGGGGCCTTTACAGTTTGTTCTCAAGTTCATTGGGACCTTTACTGGTTTACATTCCCTAGAGGCTCAGCAAATACTTCACAGACAGCACAAAGGTAAACTGTGCTGGAGCCCAGGCTGGTTTATCACAAATTTATGGGGTCTAACTTAGCATGGTTTGCCTTGTATAATCTGTGACCCAACAAGCAACTTTGTTTAAACGTTGAATCTGCTCTCTGCCGTGTGGCTGAGGAACAATTTGTGCTGGGGGCTATTTGGAGCAAGATTCACTGGCCAGCCCAGACAACCATTCATCTGTTGGTCACTCTGGAAAACTGTAGTTTGTGCTAATAAAAAGAAGGTGTTCCTTCCACTGAATGCCCTCTGATTGATCTTCTGGGAGGGGCGCAGTGATGACAGCCACACACAGAGGGAGGTGGCTCACCACGCACAAACACAAGCATTCCCTTCTGGTGACTTTTCGTTCCCATGGGAAAACCCAATACCCTCTTATCCAGTGACTCAAAGCCACAGTGGAAGACCATGTGTCAGGTCAAGTCTCCTTTAACCTTCTGGAGTCTACTGTAAATCACCATGGCTGGCAAATGTCATCTTTCAAAAATTGAGGTGAAAACCACTCAACATTAAATTAACCATTTTCCAGTACACAATGTGGTGGCTGAGTCAATGTCACTTTGGTCACCATGAAAATGTATTCACTTTACAAGTCACTGCTTTACAAAATATTCTGCCAGGATCAAGAAATTCTGATCTGATGGACGTTTCAAGTTCACCCAAACCTTGAACCCTCATTCCTCATTTTACAGATGAATAACGAGGTTCAGAGAAAGTTGTGCAAGGTCATCTAGTCAGTGGCAAAATCAACACTTGAACCCCTATCTTCATGTTGAGAGGTTTCTACTATACCTCATGTTATCTTTCCACTTGATGCAGGCACTGAGCAACAGTGTGTCGGGGTAGGCACTGGGGACACAGAGCTGAACTGTTCAGACATGGTCCCAGCCTTCCAGGGGCTCGTGACCTCAGGAAGAAGGCAGCAGAAGATCACAGCAGGAAAGAAGGATGATGCCAACACACTCTACACTCGGAACGACTGACATGCCAGCTACTCCATGATCACTGAGGGGCTGGGAACTCCTCCCAGTGACCTTCAGATCATACACCCTGGGACGTGGCCCTGTACCTGCTTCCTAAACCTTTCTGCCTGTCAGGCTGTCAGCTACACTCCTCATCTACTGTGTTGCTTCTAATCTCCCATGAGTTCTGAAATTAGAAAACTATTCTTTAAAAAAAGAAAGGACTCTGTGAGAAGGAATAAACTGTAGATTCCTCATATAACTTGGGGACCAGCATCACAGCCCCACATTTGTCAGCACCCTGATAGCACATGAAGGTGGTGTGTGTGTGTGTGTGTGTGTGTGTGTGCGCGCGCGCACGCACGTTTGTTCAAGGTTAAGGGCGCACAGCTTTCATCCCTTTCTCAAAGTCTAAGACTCAAAAGGCACAGATGTGATCTAATCATAAAAATTCTTATTCTCCCACTCATCCTGCAGGGTGGGACTAAGCAAGTCACCACTTAATCCCTTGGAGCCTCTGTTTTTAAAACTTTAAAACACAGGCCTAACAACACTCTCCACCTTGCTGGGCCACTGAGAATGAGGTAATGCGTCTGGCACAGTGTCTGACCCGAAAGGGTCCCTCCAGCCCAACCGCCATAAATGGCAGGACTCTCCCTGAGTGAAAAGCATATGGCTTATCTGCTAGGCTGTTCACATAAACGATGCTGGGTGCTCAAGGGCCCTTTCCTCCCTGATATTTTGCTCATTTGACGCAGGTTTTCCATTTAGGCTGCCAGGAGTCTCTAGAAAGGTAGGCGGGGTGTTATTTCAGTTTCCAAGTCATTAAGCACCAACAAAGAAGGGCAGACTTCCACAACTCTCACCCCACACGGTGCCCTGCCCTGTTCACGAGGGAGCGCATGGGACTAATGGAGCCCCTACAGCCAAAAGGAGAGGAAGGGAGAGAACCTTCTGGGCAGAAAAGAGTAAGAGCTGACCAAATTCTTCCCTTTGTTTCTGTTCTGTTCTCTTCTTGTTCAGCTTTCTTTCGGAAGCCCTTTGACCCATCTCTCCAGGCCAGGATGGCACCAAGAAATACTTCCACCCGCTCACCTTCTCCCTATTTACTGGTGTTCCCAAGCCCATCTGAGGCCATCGAAGCCAGACAAATGGGACTGCCCTAGCAGAGCCCCCAAACCACCGCAACACCCCACCCAGCAATGAGAATTTCCAACCGCCTCATTCCCTGGTGCATTTATCTGGGAGCAAAACTTAGCAACCTACATACAGGCTCTGTGTGGAGTACTACAACAGCCATCAGCTGATTTTTCCCTTACACATCCCTTCAGGGAGTGAAAGACCCAAAATGAATCACGCTCAGGAGGTGGAGCTCATTGCTGTAGTGTGGGTTAGAAAAAGGATAGCAAATTCATCGTTTATGGCCCCCAAATCTCTGCAGAACACAGAGCAGTTTCTCTGTGTTCCGGGATCAAAGTTTACCTGGTAAACTGGGTGGAACGGCAAACATTCTTGCAAGGGGTTAGCAATCAGGGTATGAAGGAGACACAACTGTGCGAGCAAAGCAGCGTCACTGCGCAGCAAGGGGAGGCAGCAAGAAGCACGGGTGTTAGCTGGTGCTCTTCTGCTGCCCTTACGAGCAGGTGCCCGTTTCCTCCTGCATCCTCCACCCTTGTCCACCTCACTGACACCTCAGAAAGCGTGCTGACCCCTGTCTCAAGCCTTGAAACCTGGTTCCCTATCAGCATGCAGCCTACAAGCAACTTCTGCTGCTTTTTATGATTCTGCCATGCAGAGCAGAGGGGATGACTGCGCAAGGAAACACCCAGGTCAGATGACAACTGACAAATCCATTGCTCCGGATGCTGCCTGCCAGATTTCTCACGCACTGTTCTTGGCTCTGCTAAGGAGCCAGCTGGGCGAGTGAGCATTTTATCTTGGGTGTGCCTCCCTCTACCTCTCCAGAATCACAGAACCATAGAAATGTTAAGCTAAAGGGGACTTTAGAAACCATCTAAACAGCAATTTCTTTTTTTGTTGTTATTAATCCTCAGCAGAGGAAATTTTTCCATTGATTTTTAGAGAGTGGAAGGGAGGGGAGAGACAGAGAGAGAGAAACATCTAAGTGAGAGAGACACATCGATTGGTTGCTTCCTGCCCGTGCCCCAACCAGGGCCAGGGATCGAGCCTGCAACCGAGGTACATGCCCTTGACCAGAATCAAACCCGGGACCCTTCAGTCTGTAGGCTAACGCTCTATCCACTGAGTCAAACTGACTAGGGCAGCAGCAACTTCTTTTTAAAATAAAGAAAACCAAGACTCGGACTTATCATCACTAAGACTTATATCACTAAATAGTAAATGAATCAGGACCAGAAAACAAATTTTTTTTTTTTAGTTTTATTGCTTAAAGTATTACAAAGGGTATTACACATGTCTCCTTTTTTCCCTCACCTTGACAATCCCCTGGCCTCCCCTACACCCCAGAAAACAAATTTCTTGATTATGTAATCATAATCAAAAATTTAAGAATATAACTACACTATGTTAAAGAATACTTATATCTCATCTATATAATTTTATTTTCCAAATTAATTGTTTTTATCAAGAATACTAAGTGTCCAAAATACAAATTCTGAAAGGGGAAGTAAAGAAACTAACAGCTGCTACGGGCATACCATAAGCCAGGCAGGCATGGGTGGGTTTTGGGAGAGCCTCACAAATAGCTCCATGAGATGGGCACTATTATCCCAGTTTCCAGATAAGTAAACCACAGCTCAGAAAAGTTAAGTGACTTGTCCCAGGTCCTGGGCACTGAATGACAAATTCGCAGGTCTGCTTCCTGTGACCAAACAGTCCCTACAGAGTGTTAAACAACCCAACCTAACATGAAATTAATTTCAAATGACTTCTGGAGAACAACTTGCTAGTTCACAAAATCAGAAAGGGGCAGTGAGCATCTTCCCCCAGGCTGGGCAAATTGTGAACAACTCTATCAACTCCCAAATTCTGACATCTCCTATCACCTTGAATTACAGACTCTATCCTCACAAACACTCCCAGTAGTGGGTGGATTTCTCAAAAACACTGAAGCCTTTTTTAGACATTTCTCTGGCTGACAGCTTCCCAGACCCCTTCAGATGACCCGCAAGGCGCCATTACCTATGGTCTGATCATTAATGTTTCACAGATGTCTACAGCTGCTGCCTCTGCATGATCCCGGCTGGTTTCATGTAGCAAGTGACTAACCCCTCCACTTTGTCAACTGGTAGTCAGACACATTACTAAGGGCAATTCCAAGACATCTTCAATGGATGCCATACATGCTGCCCATGTCTACCTCAATGGCACAAGAAATTCAAGACGCCTTTCT